ATTTTGCCCATAGAATCTTTCAATATTGCAACTCGAGGCTTGACTTTTTCTTCAGTTCTTTCAGCTTGAGAAATGCTGAGTGTGTTCTTCCCTTTAGTTTTTCTAACTCCAGGTCTTTGCACATTTCATTATAATAATTGACTTTGTCTTCTTGAGCTGCTCTTTGAAATCTTCTGTTTAGCTCTTTTATCTGGTCATATCTGCCATTTGTTTTAGGTACTCCCCATTCAAGAGAACTTTAAGAGTATCTCCTGACATCCATTTTGGTCTTTTCTTCCTTTCCTGTCTTTTTAATGACCTTTGGCTTTGCTCATGGATGATGCTCTTGATGTCATACCACAATTTTTCAGTCATTGGTGTTCAATGCATCAAATCTATTCTTTAGATGGTCTCAAATTCAGGAGGGATATAATCAAGGTCTTATTTTGGCTCTCATGGATTTATTTTAATTGTCTTCACCTTCAACTTGTATAGCATATGAGCAGTTAATGGTCTGTTCCACAGTCAGCTCCTGGACTTCTTTTGGCTGAAGATATTGATCTTCTCTGTTGCTTCTTGCCACAGATGTAGTTGATTTCATTCTTGTGTGCACCATCTGGTAAAGTCCATGCATATAGCTGCCATTTATGTTGTTGAAAAAAGGTATTTACATTGAATAAGTCATTGGTCTTGCAAAGTTCTATCATGCGATCTCGGCTTCATTTCTATCACCAAGGCCATGTGTTCCAACTATCAGTGATTCTTCTTTGTTTCCAACTTTTGCATTCCAACGACTGGTAAAAATCAGTACATCTTGACTGCATGCTTGATCAATTTCATACTGCAGAAGTTGGTAAAAATCTTCAATTTCCTCATCTTTGGCTTTGGTGGTTGGTGTGTTATAATAGTTGGAGCTGTGTGTCAACTTGGCTGGACCACAATTCTGTGTGATTTAAGCAATTGTGATGTGGGTTGTTCCAATGAAGGGATCAGATGTATATGTTTTGAGTAGCCAAACCATTGAAAGGGAGTTTCTATAGGCATGTGGCCTGCATCCAGTATATTTATAGACATCCTGGGAAAAGAGACACTCTTCTGTGGATCAGGATTCTGTTGTGCTGCCTACAACTAACCGTCCATGAGCGAACAATCCACCATTCAGCCTGGAGATCTTGGATTCATCATTTGTTGGAGTCAACACCCAGTATACAGCCTGCCAACCTTGAGCTCATCATCCCTGCAGCTGTGTGAGTCAGAAAAAATCTCCAGCTTTACGTTTAATCCAGGAACTTTAGGCTTGCCATTTTCTATAAGTATGTGAGCCATTTTCCTAAGATAAATTTCCCTTTCTCTCTCTACACAAGCTTTACAGGTTTTGTTTCTCTAGAGAACCCAGTTTAACACGTGTAAATTTGAATAGTAGTAGTATTAACTAGTCATGTTCCTTGGAGGCATATGGATATTATCCTATCACTAATAGCATTATTGCTGTTTTGCTGAGCATTTTAACCAAGAATGGGTGTTGGATTTATCAAATGTCTCTTCACATCAATTAAGATGATCATATGGTTCTCTCCTTGTTTTATTTATGTGGTGGACTATATTGTTTTTCTAATGTTGAACCACTCTTGCATACCTGTTATGAACCCCACCTGGTCATGATGTATTACATTTATGATATGTTGTTTGATTCTATTGGCTAGGATTTTATTGAAAATTTTATTTCTAAGTTCATGAGGGATATTTTTCTATAATTTTCTGAGCTCTGGTGGCATAGTGCCTAAGACATTTGACTGCTAACCAGAAGGCTGGAGGTTCAAACCCACCAGTCATTCCTCGGAAGGAAGAATGGGCAATCTATTTCCATAGAGATATTGCCTAGGAAAGCCGAGGAAGGGTAACTATGTGTCGGAACTGACTCAACTGCAGTGAATTTGTTTTTTGTTAACAGCATATACTTCAGGACAGATCTCAAAACATTCTTTGTTATGATGAATGCCACACCATTCCTCTTCAATTTGTCATTCCCAACATAATAGATAATACAGTTGTCTCATTCAAAATGGCCAAAACCAGTCCATTTTAGCTCACTAATGCCTAAGTTATCGATCTTTATGCATTCCATTTAATTTTTGGCAATTTTGGCAATTTCCAATTTTCTTAGATTCATACTTTGTACATTCCATGTTCTGATTATTAATGAATTGATTATTTTTGTAAAAATACGAATTTTGTACAATAGGTTCATAGTTTTACAAAATTCTTATAGCAGCACAAAGAAATAAGTTGAAGACCACTAACTAATTTAAGGAACTAGGTGGCATGTGAAGGATGGTTTTGGACATAAATTTAGTCATTCATTTCTTAATTTGATCAAACTGAAAACTCATATCTAGGTTCTTGTCTGGCAAGAAATGTGCCTGGAATAAGGTTAAAAGGATGACCCTGCATGAGTTGCTGCAATCTAGGATCTCATTGTTGAGAGCATACTGACATGTAAACTAACAATTTTAATACAGTGAGAAAAGGGTGAGTAACAGGACCATGCCCAAGTGCTATGGTGGTCAGCAACTATGCTGGGGTTTCTTGAGGTTTAGTGAAGAGTGCAATCTTGAAATATAAATAGGTGTTTGTGAGAGAGAGGAGGTGATGAGGATGAATCAGAGTGCTTAAAGTGATTTATTGTACAGAAGGGCTCCTAAAACTGATGCAAAACAGAAATGACATTTTCTCAGTGTCACAGAACTAGTAAGTGGCAATAGGCCCAGAGGCTATATAGTTTAGGAGTCTGAGTCCAGAGCTCTCTCTTTGCACCCTATCTAGCCACCCCTCACCCAAAAGCATACAGGGAGAGACACTGGGGATGTATGAGAACATGAGTGCATGCTGGAAAACAAGCGATGGCCTCCATCACAGTGCCAGTTCTCATTTTGAAGAGACACTGTCTGGTCTTTACCTGGAAGTTCTCTTTAATCCTCTTCTCATTGAAACTCTTGGCCAGGACCACCACACCCCGCTGCAGATGGTAGCGCAAGGCAACCTGGCCTGGGGTTCGATTGTGGTTTTTGGCAATGGCATTCAAGATTGGGTCCTCCAAGAGATGTGGACTATTCTTGTCTGTCCTGGGGAAAATCAAATAAAACAGAGGGAGAAATAGATCTAGGAATAAAAATCTGGAGTATGCTGACCCTTTCTCTCAAATTACCCAGAGAGGGAGTAAGCAATATGTATTATGATTAAAAAAAAAAAAAAAACTTCATAGAGTTTTATAATTGCATCAGACTAGAAACAGTTAAAATGTTCATCAACAGATGAGTGGATAAACAACTTGTATGTGTGTCTATCCAAAGGAATATTATCCAGCAGATACTCATGACATAGACATTAAAATGAGCAAAAGCCAGCCACAAATAAATAAATATGTATTCTATGATTCCATTTATATTAAGTACTCAAAAAAAGAAAACCAAACTCACTGTTGAGTTGGATCTGACTCATAGCGACCCCTTCTTGGTTTCCGAGGCAGTATCGCTAAGGAAGTAGATAGCCCAACCTTCCTTCTGAGCAGTGACTGGTGGGTTTGAACTACCAGCCTTCTGGTTTAGCAGTCAGATGCCTTAGGCACTACACCACCAGAGCTCCCTATATTAAGTACTGGCACAGGTAAAACGAATGTAAAGTCAGAAAAGTAGTTGGCTCAGAGTGAGAATTATCTGGAAAGGAACAAAACAAATTTGGGGGGACATAAAATGATTCTGTACCATGATAGGGGTTATGTGGTATATCACTTTGCCAAATTGTACAGTTAAGTTTTATGCATTCTAAGTTATGTAAATTTTACCTTAAAATGACTTTAAAAAATAATGACTAGAGTGGGGTTGAGAGTAGGTAGAAAACTAAAAAAAAAAAACCTCACTGCCATTGAGTTGATTCCAACTCATAGTGACCCCCTTTGGGTTTTCAGGCAATAAATCTTTATGGAAGTAGATTGCCCAGTTTTCCTTCTGAGGAGTGGCTGGTATGTTTGAACTGCCAACCTTCTTGTTAGCAGTCAAATGCCTTAGGCACTATACCACCAAAGCTCCTAGGGAGTAGAGCTGTATGTATATGAAACAAGAGTGAAAAGATGCTGATAACATTGATGCTCAGTCATGGTTATATGGTATTTCATTGAACTATTGTGTTTATTTTATGTTTGTTCTTTTACATAATTAAAACTTAAAAAGAATGTGTTTCATCATCTGTAGAGCTACTGACATAGGTTAACTTTGTAATATTCTCATTACCAGTCTGGGTGTCTTTGGGATCCCAGGGCACTGTAGGCAACTATGACAATGTCCTTGGACTTGCAGAACTCCAACAGCTTGCTTTGGTTAAGGTAAGGGTGACATTCCACCTGTAAGTTGCCAAAACCAAAAAGCATCAATATACATGCACAAACATCCCATGTCAATTTTTTAACTGCTTTACAAAACTTATATTACTACAGTAATAGTTCTTGCTTTTATAATTTCCCCCCCTGCAGTTTCTGAAATACCATCAAATGCTACCAGCTGTCAAAATTCATAACTTATTTCTTATTTTTAAAATAGTGTTTAAAAATTATTAAAGCCTCTCAGACAAAGATTATGGTTTCTAAATACTGTTGTGTTGTTGTTGTTGTTATTTGCTGTCGAGTCGGCCCCCCCGACTCGTAGTGACCCCTCCTTGGGTTTCCAAGACAGTATCACTACGGGAGTAGGATTGCCCAACCTTCCTTCCGAGGAGTGGCTATTTCCCATTAAAAGAAACCAAGACTTCTCAGAGACTTCTGAGAGAAATGGCTGACTCTGACCTGGAGGGGAAGGTATAAGCTGACTTGAGAATACTGTAATAATGAGGATATGTCAAAGGAGCTAAGTTAAAGAATCTCCTGCTTCCCTAAATTATGCAATTTGAGCATCAATAAGAATAATAACTACAGCGGATTTTAAAATATCTTACTTGTTAAAATCCATGTATTCAGGATGAAATGTGCACACATACATACACAATCATAGCTTTAGATCTAATCTTCAATTTTTAGGAAATACAAAAGACAGAGAAACGTGTCAGATGATAGCACAGGATCAATCAATAAAATCAGTTGTGTCAGAAACTCTACAGGGCTAGAACTTAGTATTTTTAAAAAATAAATTGAAGAGATAAAAAGAAGAGGATGAGAGAGAGAGAGAGACTGAGTCTATTCATTAAAGGGGAAATTTAAGAGATATGCCAATCAATTGAAATATATGTTTGTTTCAATCCTTACTTGAGTAAGTCAACTAAAAAAAAATATGATACAATTGGACAAATTTTAATATCCATGATATTAATTATTGAAACTTTAAGTGGCATAGTAGTAGTATTAGTTTATATAAAAAAATCTGTGTATTTTAAGGAAACATGTTGAAACTTTTGCAGATAATATAATGTCTGCATCAAAATAATAATCCAGTGATAGAAGTAGATGTTTGGATAAGAGATAATTATTGCATAAGCCTGGCAATGGATACATTGGGGAGGTTCTTATAGTATTCTCTCTACATTTTTATACTTTGAAATTTTGCATAGTAAAAGTTTTAAAAATTGTTAAACACATCACAAAATTACCTAGAATCCAACCTGAACAATATAGCAATTATTATCATTTTGCTATGCTTAATTTTAGTCTTTTTATTATTTTTTAATTATATAACTGTAATATTTTATATATATATGGCATAGCTCGGAGCCTGGCTTTATTTAAGGCTGGGCCCTGGATATGTAGGTTTGCAGCTTGGACCTTCTGCGGTGGCTTTATTTAAAAGGCCAGGTCCCAGATAGGCAGGTGCACAGCTTGGGAGTGAGCAGAACAGTTAGTAACAACTAAGAGACATGAAGACATGAATTTGTCTGTCAGGTTGTCATTCTGTGGTGGCTTGCATGTTGCTATGAGGCTGGAGGCTATGCCATCATTGTTGCAAAAATGCCAGCAGGGTTACCCATAGTGGTCAGGTTTTCAGCAGAGCTTCCAGACTAAGACAGACTCAGAAGAAGGAAGGGTCATCTACTTCTCAAAGAACTGGCCAGTGAAAACCTTATGAATAACAGTGAAACACTGTGTGATATATTATTGGAAAACTTTATGAATAGCCTGGAAACATTGTCCGTATAGTGATGGAAGATGAGCTCAATAGGTAGAAGACACTTAAAATCTGACTGGGGAAGAGCTGACTCCTCAGGGTAGAGATGACCTTAATGATATGGATCAAGTAAAGCTTTTGGGACTTCTAATGGCTAATGTGGCATGACTCAAAATGAGTAGAACAGCTGCAAATATCCATTAATAATTGGAACATGGAAGGTACAAAGTATGAATCTAAGAGAATTGGAAGTTGTCAAAAATGAAATAGGATGCATAAAGATCGATATCCTAGGTATTAGTGAGCTAAAACAGACTGTTTTGGCCATTTTGAATCAGACAACCATATGACCTACTATGGCGGGAATGAGAAGTTGAAGAGGAATGGTATGGCATTCATTGTCACAAGACCGTTTCAAAATCTTTCCTGAAGTACAATGCTGTCAGTGATAGGTTAATATCCATATACCTACAAGAAGACCAGTTAATACTATTATTATTCAAATCTGTGCACCAACCAACAAAGCCAAAGATGAGGAAATAAAAGGAAGATTTTTACCAGCTTCTGCAGTCTGAAATTGACAGAACATAAAATTATGATGTGTTGATTATCACTGGTTACTGGAATGCAAAAATTGGGAGACAAAGAAGAGTCACCAGTAGTTGGAAAGTATGGCCTTGGTGCTAGAAATAATGCTGGAGACCACATGATAAAATTTTGCAAGACCAACCACTTATTCATTGCAAATACCTTTTTCAACAACGTAAATGACAGCTAGACATGTGGACTTGACCAGGTGGAATACACAGGAATCAGACTGATTACATCTGTGACAAGAAGCGATAGAGAAGGTCAGTATCTTCAACCAAAACAAGGCCAGGAGTTGACTGTGGAACAGACCATCAACTACTCATATGCATGTTCAAGTTGAAACTGAAGACAATTAAAACAAGTCCACAAGAGCCAAAATAGGACCTTGATAATATCCCTCTTGAATTTAGAGACCATCTAAAAAATAGATTTGATGCATTGAACACTAATGACTGAAAACCAGAAGAGTTGTGGGATGACATCAAGAACATCATCCATGGAGAAAGCAAAAGTTCATTAAAAAGACTGGAAAGGAAAAACCGAACAAAATGAACATCAGAAGAGACTCTGAAAATGGTCCTTGAGCAGAGAGTAGCTAAAGCAGGTGGAAGAAATGACAAGATAATAGAGCTGAACAGAAGATTTCCAAGAGCAGCTCGAGAAGACAAAGTCAATTATTATAATGAAATGTTCAAAGACCTGGAGTTAGAAAACCAAAAGGGAAGAACATGCTCAGCATTTCTCAAGCTGAAAGAACTGAAGAAAAAATTTAAGCCTCGAGTTGCAATATTGAAAGATTCTATGGACAAAATATTGAACAATACAGGAACATCAAAAGAAGATGGAAGGAAAACACAGAATCACTATGGAAGGAAAACACAGAATCACTATACCAAAAAGAATTGGTCGATGTTCATCCATTTCAGGAAGTGGCATATATGATCAAGAACCAATGGTACTGAAGGAAGATGTTGAGGCTGCACTGAAAGAATTGGTGAAGCACAAGGCTCCAGAAATTGATGGAATACCCACTGAGATGTTTCAAAAAATGGATGCCATGCTGGAGGCACTCACTCAGCTATGACAAGAAATTTGGAAGACAGCTACCTGGCCAACTGATTGGAAAAGATCCATATTTGTACCCATTCCAAAGAAAAGTGATCCCACTTAATGTTGAAATTATCGAACAATATTCTTAATGTCACATGCGCATAAAATCTTACTGAAGGTAATTCAAAAACATTTGTTGCAGTATATTGACAGAGAACTTCCAGAAATGCAAGCTGGATTCAGAAGCGGATGTGAAATGGGGAATATCATTGCTGATGTGAGATGGATATTGGCTGAAAGCAAAGAATACCAGAAAGATATTTACTTATGTTGTATTGAGTATACAAAAGCATCCTATTGTGTGGATCATAACAAATTATGAATAACATTGAGAAAAATGGGAATTCCAGAACACTTGATTGTACTGATGAGGAACTTGTACATATTAGAAGATCAGAAGGCTGTTGTTCAAACATAACAAGGGGATACTGCATCGTTTAAAATCAGGAAGGGATTGCAACAGGGTTGTGTCCTTTCACCATGCTTATTTGATTTGTATTCTGAGCAAATAATCTAAAAAGAAGCTGGACTATATGAAGAAGAATGTGGCATCAGGATTGGAGGAAGACTTTAGCAACCTGCAATAGTCAGACAACACGACTTTGCTTGTTAAAAGTGAGGATGACTTGAAGCACTTACTGATAAAGATTAAAGACTACAGTCTGCAGTATGGATTACTCCTCAATATAAAGAAAACAAAAATCCTCTCAACTGGTCCAATTAAGAGCTTCATGATGGATGGAGAAAAAATTGAAGTTGTCAAGGACTTCATATTACTTGGTTCTACAATCAACACCGATGGAAGCAGAAGTTGAGACATCAGATGACGTATTGCATTGGGCAAATCTGCTTCAGAAGACTTTTTCAAGTGATGAAGAGCAAAGATGTCTCCGTGAATATACCTAACCCAAGCCATGGTATTTTCAATTGCCTCTTATGCATGTGAGAGCTGGACAATAAATAAGGAAGACTGAAGAAGAGTTGATGCTTTTGAGTTGTAGTGCTGGAGAAGAATGCTAAGAATACATGGACTGTTAAAAGGACTAACAGCTTTGTCCTGGACCAAGTGCAGCCAGAATGCTCATTGAAAGTGAGAATGGCCAGAGTTCATCTCACCTACTTTGGTCATGTTGTCAGGAGGAACCACTCCCTGCAGAAGGCTATCATGCTTGGCAAAGAAGAGAGTAAATGAAAAAGGGGAAGGCCTTCAATGAGATGGATTGACACGGTGGCTTCAACGATGGGCTCAGGTATAGCAAATATTGTGAGGCTGGCACAGGACCAGGCAGTGTTTTGTTCGGCTATGCATAGGGTTGCTATGAGTCAGAGATGACTCGATGGCACTTAACAATAATGACAACTGTAATATAATGTATATTGTAGATATTACTGATTACCATAATTTCTCTCTAGAGGAACTCTGATTTTGTTCAGTGGTCTCTCCTTCCCCTATGCAGCCTCAGCAGAAGCTGTTCTACTCTTCAGTATAAAGGTCTTTCAGTTGAATGCCATAACTAGTTCAGAAACTTAGCCAAGGACACATGAGGAGACATTTGCTAATGACTTCTGGGAAAGTTCTTCCTTCTTCTTTACAAACCACCCCAGGAAACACTCTCTCTCCTACTGAACATGGACAACCCATCAACCCATAGTCATTTAGCTGACAGAGTTGAACTGCCCCCTAGGGTTTCTAAGGCTATAAAGCTTTATGGAAGCAGACTGTCACATCTTTCTTCCACAGAGTGGCTAATAGGTTTCAACTACTGAACTTTCAACTTAGCAGCCAAGTGCTTTAACCACTGTGGCACCAGGGCTACTGTACATGGAAAAGGAGACGTATTCCAGATACCTCTGAGAGCTATGCGGTAACTATGAATAGAGAAACATAGACAAAACTTCTTGGTTCAGGATAGTACATTACAGCTTTAGAGCACACAAACCTGTACATGAATTAATGTCCTTAAATTTTGCGACAATCGGAATTGAGTTTCTGATTCTTGCTGATGAAAGCTTTCTAATTGACAAAGTAGCATGCAATTGTGTGAAATACTCTTTATGTAATACTCTAACACAAAGCTACTATTCTTTACAGTATCCCAACATGGACCCATGAAGGTGATAAGCCATCATAAAGCTAATCATTTCACTCTTGTGAGATATTTAAATTTTCAATTACTTGATATTTTTAAAAAAATTGTGTTTAACATATTCATATATAGATAGATATAGATATATTCATAATTTATTATATCTTATGAATAGATTCTGAGAAGTAAAATAACTAAGAAAAAGAGTATAAATATTTGAATGGCTTCTTGTGTAATTATCAAAGCATTTTACAAAAGGGCTATACATCTATACATTGTCAAAAATTGTTTTAAAATTACTAGCACTGGGGACAGGGCAAGATGGCGGACTAGGCAGAAAGACTACACAGACCCTCTTCAACAAAGAAAAGGGAAACCAATTAACATAGACACAGAAGATAATCCTGGACCCCTGAGCCTTGAAGGGAAGGATATAGAAGTGGACTAAACCCCAACTAGCAGAAGAATTTGCATGAAAATACCAA